GTCCTCACGAACCCCAAGGGCACCATTATTGGCAGACAACTCTTCCTCCAACTTCTGCAGAGAGTATCACTACTCCCTTAGATGCTGATCAAAGCAACAAATTTTCCGCTGTCACTACATCAGCTGCTGACATGGATGTAGCCAACTTACAAACTGTTGGATTCTCTTTTATACTTGGGGTAATTAGCACCGAAGAAAGCATAGCCACCGAAGCAGAGCCCAAGCCAAGCGGAGATTTTCCCGTTGTCACTACATCAACTGATTCAAGTGACGTAATCACGGTCGTAGTCACTCGCAAGCCGTCCAGCCTTAGTACCAAAGAAAACATAGTCAGCCAAGCAAAATCAGTGTCAACCACAAACGTTCCCGATGTTATAAGCTCAGCTACTAAGATCAGAGCAACCAACATTGTGAGAGTTGGAGGTACGGAACTGTCAACTGTTGGAGATTCTGTAGCAACAGTCGAAACTGTCACTATTTCGGCCTAATTATGTAATTATTCTGTACATAATACTATAGTTGTAACGTTGTACGTATGTATATTATGGCTCATCTTTAAAATAAATGTTTTTTCTATACCTAGTTATATGATCTCTCAGAGGATTGCCCAAATCTAAGCAAAGAGAAATTTATTGTGTTCAAGCAGGCAAAGAAAAATTGAGGGGCTTACATGGAATGAGGATCCTGAAGGTTTACATGGAAAAATGGGAAGATCAAATTTAAAAGCTGCATTTTTTAAAGATAGAATGAACTTAAAGCGCTTGTTGTTATACGGTTGATTGAGCTAGCCTACCGCATTCTCTCTTTGAATTTCATAAGGCTAGACAAATGATTCATACATCTTGCGATGTCCATTTTATCAAAAAGAGGAAGTAAGGTTTGTTGGCCACGTAAGAAAGTTCCGCTTCGTACACATTTATTACGCCTCAAAATGCCTTTCTCGCAAGACCATAAATCCAAACGCTTAGTCCTCCAAAAGTTTAGTAGTTTAAGGTTTAGTTCATCAAGCTATAGAGTCTTGTCTTTACTAAGTAACTTCGGTCATCTTGCTTAT